GCCGCCGGCGGCGCGCGGGGGGGGGGCGGGGGGGGGGGCGGAGCCGATATCGTCTCAGAAGCCGCGGGCGGACGAGGATCGGAAGCGGAAAGGGAGAGAAGCCGAGGACGACGGCGAGTTTCAGAGCGAGGTGAGTGAGTGAGTCTGAGTCAGCACAAATTTGTTTTTTTACTAATTAGTGATGATAACGATAACATTTTCTGTGAAAATTGAAATTAACTAGTTTCCAGAAATGGAAAAAAAATAAAAAAAATAAATAAAAATCCATTGTTCTCTTTCCCAAGGTGTTGTTTGTTGCCTGGTCTCGGCGAACGTGCGCAGGTGGTGAGGGTAACGTCGGTGATCGTGCGCACTGCGTCCCGCAGTGCCCTAGGGTATAACCCTATAGAAACTCTACATCCAATATGTGCGTTAGTGTTTTTGGGGCCCCGTCACTTCAGTTGTGCGCCGTACACGTGGCAGTTCTGGGCTTCGCACGTGTACAGTACAGTAGGAAGGAGGAGCATAAATTTTTCTGACAATAAAATTGAATGGAAGATGATTGGTAGATGGTGTAGGTGGCAGTGAATTTCTAGTGCAACTGCATATACCCTCCAAAAATGATTTATTAATCATCATGGGCTACACGTGGCTTTTCACAGGACTTGTTTGTTTCTTCGTCCCATATTAGCCTTCCTTCTGATAAAATAAAAAAATAAAAATAAAGTAGCCTTCCCTCATCATCTGGAAACTTTATTTATGTATTTGGTAAATTATCTGGAAATACTATTGATGTGGGATTATTTATTTATTTATATTCAACAAGAAAAATGATAGTTCTACTACTTTTGATAGGGCCTTGGAAATGGGGGGTTTATTTATTTATCAGTATTCAAAATCAGGTTCATGGTAGTGTAAGACAGTAGAAAGAGTAGCCAAATTGGTACTTGGTGTGTATGCATGCATTGACAGAAAATATGTTTAATTGGTTTTGTTTGGTTAGATAGGTTGATGCCTTTGTTAATTGTGAAACCAATACAAAAATGTAAAGATGTTAAGTTTATAATGCCATGTATAATTCAGTTGGTGGGATTGGTCAGGGCATTCATGTTTGTATTGTACCTTTCAGATGATGATATTTCCTATACTCATTGCAATTTACTATTGGATATTAGAAGTAATTTTTCTTCTCTCTGATGATTTTAAACAGGATGTTGAGTTTGAATCTGCCAATGGAAAAAAAAAAGCCCGAGGATCAACGTCTACAAAGAGATCCCGTGCTGCCGAGGTCCACAATCTCTCCGAGAGGGTCTGTACTTTAGCTTGAACTATAGCTTCGCTGATAAAGCAAGTTGTTCACTTTCCTTCTCAAGTGATGTTATTTCTCTTGAAAACGGCTAAGTATTGAATCTATGTGCAGAGACGTCGAGATAGGATAAATGAAAAGATGAAGGCTTTACAAGAACTAATACCTCGTTGCAACAAGGTTTTCATACTAATTAAATCTTTTATGGAATTTCACAAGCATTTTGAATTGCTTTATCCATTAGATCCAAATGCGGTTTCTTTTTTCACATTCTAAAAATACTCTTCTTTTTTTGTGTATTCTGTATCATCAGTCAGACAAAGCGTCAATGCTGGATGAAGCAATTGAGTACTTGAAATCACTTCAGTTACAAGTACAGGTATGCTCTTGTCTTGTTTTCCACTGCTATATATAATCTCAAGCCGAAGACAGTCATAAATTAATGGAGAATCAATCTTTTGTCACTCTTGTGAAAAATATCCGAGAAAGAAATAATGAGAAGAGAAAAGATCAATAACGAGTTCATGCATTATTTATGATACCAATTAGATTGTAACCAATTTCTGCAGATGATGTCCATGGGATGCGGCATGGTACCTATGATGTTTCCTGGTGTTCAGCAGTATATGCCGATGGGGATGGGAATGGGAATGGGAATGGGCATGGGAATGGAAATGGCGGGCATGACCCGGCCTATGATGCCATTTCCGAATGTGCTAGCTGGTTCATCCATGCCAACAGCGGCTGCACATTTGGGACCTAGGTTCCCTGTGCCACCATTTCATATGCAGCCTATTCCTGCAAATGATCCTGCCAGAGTTCAAGCAACAAATCAGTCAGATCATATGCTAAACGCGCTTGCTGCTCAAAATCCAAACCAATCACGTATGCCAAATTTTGCAGATCCTTATCAGCAGTTTTTCAATCCCCAGCAGATGCAGTTGCCACTACAGCAGGTATGGTGTTGGTTCAAAGATAAAATTATTACTTACAAATTTTTCTTCACATAAAATTACCGTATTCATGGCTCCATTTCCTGTTACAGAATCAAGCAATGGCTCAGCCTAGTAGCAAGCCAAGTTCCAGTAAGGGACCTGAAACTCATGAAAATCATCAATCAGGTAAAAATACTTTTAACTGTTGTTTTACCTTGTGTAATTTTCAAGATTAGTTTGGTTCTCCCCTTGACCCCAGTGAATTCTTACAATCTTACAAAAGTAAATACTTTCATCTTTAAATTTACTTGATGGTTTGTAAAAGAGATATGACCCATCAGTAGGTAGAGTCAACTGTCCACTGCCATAAGCATGGTAGTGCATTGTGGTTTTAATGTCATTCTTAATTATCGAGGGTCGCACTCGTATGGGAAGTGGAAGAACTGATGGTGAAACTTTTGTGCGTTGCAGGTTGAAGTTGGAAGTGGATGGATAAAGGCTCTTTGCCTGCTAAGTTTTGTAGTCTAAGCTCTGAGAGTAGTTTTTTCTCCTTTTTGGGTTCTTGTGAGGCTAAAATGCCATATAACAAAGCTAACATGTAATTATTACAACCCCATAGCAATATATTTACCATTTTCCTATTTTGATTTTGTCGCTCTCAGAAGCTGTGAAGGGTATCAAGTTTAAAATGAGTGATCACAAAGTTGATGGGACCTGATCTAAAGATGGAAGATGCTGATGGATCCTTCTGGTATCGTTTTCTGCTTTCATGTGATTTGCAAAAGCAGCCCAAGATAAAAATAAAGGTGTCTGCCCATCAATTCATTTCTTGAGTTGTCTTTTTCTTGGTGAAGAAGATATGATCAAAATCCCCAATAATACTGGAGGACAACCTATATAAGTCGAAGGCAAAAGTCTACCTCGGACAACTTCTTGCTCAATATCTGGCAAAGGCATATTGATCACATCCTCCACCAAAGATGCGAGAATATCTTTAACCAGAAATCCTATTTTCTTTGCTTTATTTTACTGGTTAACCATAAAAGGGTAAAAGATGCCCGCAGGAAACTCGAGAGACATTTATATTCTAACTATAAATTGTTTGACGAGATTTTCCTCAACTTGCATCAGCTGTTGCACATTAAAATTTCCATAGTTCAAACTTGGAACCCGATTACAAAATTCTTGACCATGTCCAAGATGGAAGCACAACATTCTTAATGCGTTTCGTGAAGTTGAAGATGTCTCGATGGTGTGAAAAACAAACAGAATGGGAAGTGAGACTCCCTTACAGGAGTCGAACGGTACTTCGAGCTTTAAATCAGATTTCTTCCCTGTGTAAATTGTCCTTCACGAAGTGCTTGTAGTTATGAGCCAAGGGTAGACAGGATCTGAAGACAGAAATCCAAACAGTATATAGAGCTCAGGCTTTTATTCAAAAGTGAACCGATGATGATCATATGGCAAAAAAAACAATTTATAGATGTATAAGCAGAGAGTATTCTCTAATAGTAGTAACAGAGGGCATCACCTTGTCCGTAAATATCCGAAACACATCCACACCCATAGCTTTCTCAAGTTCCTGATGATAGTATAGAACATGATTACCAAACATTATTCTCCATTTTAGTCTAGACAGTTTGATTTCAGAGCAAGTATCATGCCTAAATGAAAAACATTTGATAAAGGAAATACTTTGGTCTTGATTGTAGTAAATGTCCCCACTCACCTTCTCTGCATCTGGTGAACAGTCTATATTTAGAATGAGCTTCTGAAGGTTTTCATCTTTCAAAGCACTGCAAATTTCACTGGAAGAAGCTACAAAAGGGGAAAAAAAACGAGGGTTGATAATCAGGGGGAGCAATCATATCAGTGGCAGATTGAAAACTTTTATGTTCTTATTAGTTGCCTAGTCCAACAATTTCCTTCAACCAGAGATTCTAAGCGGGATAATTACCATCAAACATGTAGGATGTGGGACAGTTCTCTGGAGCCAAACCATGCAGCAAAACAGCTTTGGTGTATATAGATAAATTGTTGCCTAATCTAGACTACTGAACATATAGATTCCCTAAAAATACCAGCAGTTAACATAATTGGAAATATCGTAAATGACTATAAGTCACCACATTGGGGATTACCTCAAATGCTCAAAGGAGCCTTCTAAGAGTTTCGGGGAATGATGATGGCCAAATGATGGAAAGAAACAAGAAACGATAACACGGTGAAAAAGGTTCAGAATAAACAACACCATAAACCTTGGCTTGTCTTCTGTTCAGCCTACTTGCAGAAACCTCCTTAGTTCTAACAGGTTTGGTTATCCTCGTTTTGGTTTCAACCAATAAAATAACCTCTTTTTGGTTTCAGCCTAGATGACAACAGCCTCTTTCATTCTCTCGTTTTACCTTAAAGGCGTAAGATTAAATCTGGCATGAACATCATTTATACTTCTAAATATTTTGGAACCTAGGTCTTAGTATGCCCCATAGAAGGGTCAATTTTTTTCAAAAGGTGAAGGGATAACCCTCCACTTTCAAATTTTCCCAACGGCCATCTTGTGTAGCTAAGTTTAAAAAACTCTAATGCATTTCCAAGCTTAGTTATAAAATCCTTACCTACAGCCTCTAGTTGCAGCCTTTGCAGCACTTCACTCGGTTCCTCAACAGTTAATGGCCTATCTACCCGTGATTCCGGACCTGTGGCTGAAGAATAAGAAATCATCGACACTAGAATTCTCAGAATCCTCAGAGAGGACAAATGTCTCATGAAAATATCCCAAAAGGCAATGCAACATGAAGAAAATATAATCATCAACACAAACATAACAACATTTACTTTTAATAAGCTGTGTGTTTATTGAGGTAGTATCACAGACATAAACTGAATCCCATACAATCCTTTCTCTAATACGTATCAACAAAAAACTACAAATTAGCATTTAGGCATATGAAAGCAGATTAATTTAATGAAATTAGAGTGCCAGATTCTTACTTGGTGGTTTTTCCAACGAAGAAACTGGCAAAGCACATGGGTTTTCTGAAAAATTCGTATATAAGCTCAAATTAGTCCCAGATTAACAACAGAATAAGCAATTAACTAGCTTTTGAAATTCATAATTAATGATAATAACTAATAACAAAGCAAAGTTGAAGTGTGTAAGCGCCCCACACCCTTGTGTTTCTTGAAACAGGCTACAGAACAACTGCAAGCAAAAGAATTTTATCTTTTTTGTTAACGAATCAGATACCAGCAAGAATCAAAAGGGTTTTCAAAATAGATAAAACTGAGGATATTGGTGAGCTGCGATGAGCTTACTAAGGCGCAAGGCATGAGGGGCACTTGTACTTGGATTGTGCTTCGTTGCAGACTTGGCACAGTCGAGGACCCATTTGGACACTCAGTCCTGCTTCTAAAAGCTTTCGAGGATTGAGACGGAAAGTTTTCGAGAAAAGATTTTCCAGGAAAACAAACAGAAGCTAAGGCGATGAATGACAGCCCAGGCACCGTTTTGTTTGTAAAGGTAAAAGGAAAATTAAATTAAATAGATTTTTTTTGCTACGAAAATTAAATTAAATGGTTTTCAAAGGAAAGAATATCACAGAATGAATTATGACATTTGAGTAAGCCCTAAAAACTTCAACTTTAAATTATTCCCTTAAAAAAGTTCAATTTTCTTTGTAACTCTTCACTAAATTCTTGAGAAAAATTCTTTCATTAAATTGGAAGGGTTCAAGACTAATCCTGATTTATTTTCCCACTTCAAATTTATGGAGAAAATAAAACACTGGAAGCAAGATAATGCATGAAATTATAAATTCTCTTAGTCATCAGGATTTCCTATAAATTTCATTAATTTCACCATAGGGTGTTCTATAAATAAAGAAAAATACTTGCCTCATTCCTTGAAAGTAGGAGCACCTACTTTCCTGCTAATCACAGATTGACGTGTGTGTAAAGATTTTTCTCTTGGTGTTTTTGATAAATTATTTTTACATGTGTCAAACGGTGATTTATAGGTAGTAGGAATGCCTCCTTCCATAGGAGTGTCCATAAATAAAACACAATCTCGAGTTATTACGATCCATTTTTCTTTTATTTTTCCCAATTTTCTGAATTGTCATCCCTCTTTTGGAGAATTTAGTTGCTTTAATGAATCCAAGAACGTAAAATTCCCTTAGTAAACATGTTGACAAGCACACAAAGGCTAACGTAATGAGTTGCAAACAACCAGAAATGTCGTGTTTCAAATCGCGCAGCAACCCAAGCTTAAACACATCCCACATTTTTTTAAAGAGCAGATTTGATATTTTGTGCAATTTTTCACAGGCATCATCAAGAAACACGTCAAGCTTTGAAATGAAGCATATGGATAAACGTAAATAATCGGAGTTGCCTTAGTTGGTTTCCGAAGGGAAGGCACTCGTGATTCTATAGTTGAAGTATTACAACCTCCATCTTTCAATTAAGGATGCTAATCATCACTTATATTGAATCCAACCAAAACACAAGAAACTTGAAATAGAATTTAAGTTGTAATACAGAACACAAACAGAACGGCTGTGTCTTCAAAAGTACATGCGGGGTGATTTCATCACATATAGAGCCCTTCTGGAACCCCTTCTTTCTTCTTGAACATCACCTTTTCCTTTGCCTTCTTGAAGTCTATATGTGTCACCTGATGCACACAATTTAAATGTAACACCCACGTTAATTACAATGATTAAGCAACCGGTTGAATCAAACACAGTAAGAAATGATAAACAAATTTCAGAGATTCAAGATGGGGAAGGGAGGTTGGAAGATCAAAGTGTGTTTCTCACCTTCATACGGCGCTCTCTTAAAGCAAGCAAACCAGCTTCAGTACATATTGCCTTTATATCAGCCCCAGAGAACTCATCCTTAGTCATAACAAATTCTTCTAAGTTGACATCATCAGCCAACGTCATCCTTGATGTGTGAATCTGCAATCAATAGATCCAATCATCGTTAGTCACAACCATAAAAACTTAGCACGTTTGACGTTGAATTTGTTTTTTTCTTATAAACAGTCGTGTCAATTTACCTGGAAGATGCGCCTCCTTGTTTTGATATCAGGAAGAGGGAATTCAATCTTCCTATCTATTCGGCCAGGACGAAGCAAGGCTGGGTCAAGACTCTCAATTCTATTTGTTGCCAAGATCACCTTGACATCTCCTCTTGAATCAAAACCATCTAACTGGTTCAGTAACTCCAACATGGTCCTCTGAATTTCACGTTCACCACCTGAATGGGCATCATACCTGCATACAAAAGATCATCAGGAACATTTGATTAACAGTAATTTACAATCTTTTCATCAATGTTCAGGGGCTTGCAGCTCACCTCTTTGTACCAACTGCATCAATTTCATCGATGAAGACAATGGAGGGTGAGAGGTCATCAGCAACCCTAAAGAGTTCCCTCACTAATTTCGGACCATCTCCCAAGTACTTCTGAATCAACTCACTACCAACAACACGTAAGAAAGTTGCTGATGTTGAGTTTGCCACTGCCTAAAAAAAGTGAAAATATCTTACAAGCTGAGAAGATAATTTGACAAGAAGAGTGCAGATACAACAAATATGCCATAAGCAAACATCATTGAAAGGAACTCTCTGGTGCACTCATAATTTTCGTTAACTGTGACAGTAAAACTTTGAAACTAGACAGGTCTTTGCAACAAATTTTGTTGGTTCCTGCTCTGACCCAAACGTCTATTGTGAGTATGCCATCGGTGGGTGCATGAGAGAGAGGTGCACCCACAAACATACATACAAACAAACAGGAAAACAAGCAAAAGCAATTGCTACAGGTGTCAGCATTGCAAAATACACAAAAATGGTGACAGAAATAGAGAGCAAACTATAATATCACAGAATGAGAATAGATGCAGCGACCTGTAGGAAGGAAAATATCAGTTTGATGATATTTGACACCCAACTAATGACAACCGCATCCCTATGGCATGTTGCATACAGAATATGATACAAATTGGAAAACAACATGGGAAACATCAGAAATCTTGCAACTTAATTGAAACAGTGAAGCAGGTGACTGCACCCTGATTTTTTTTGTAACATGTGCAAGTGGGGAGGATATTCTAGTGAACAAGACAGAACAAGGATACACAAAGAACAAATAAATACAAGCAAAAGGTGAATTGGCATGCTGTGGCTAAGTGGAAAAATAAAAAATTGGACCCACCTTTGCAAGCAAGGTCTTGCCAGTTCCAGGCTCTCCATACAATATGACTCCCTTAGGAGGCCTGATACCAATGTCTTCATACAGTTCAGGATGCGTCAGTGGGAGCTCAACTGCTTCTTTAATCTCCTGTATTTGGGCATCCAATCCGCCGATGTCAGCATAAGACTCCAGTGGAGCTTTCTCAACTTTCATGACAGACACCATTGGATCAACTTCATCTTGAAGAAGCCCGACAACAGAAAGCACCTGACAAGGAACAACATTTAACACACTACCAATCAAAACCCACACAAATAGATGAATGAAAAAAAACAACTGAAGTTATACCCACAGCAAACGTATATAGTTTGGTTTCTAAACACGGGTAGAACCATAAATGTAGCTATTTCATATAGACCAGATGACTAAGTATCATCTTTAGCAGCCGAATGGAGACTGTCTATGCAACTAAGTATCACAGTCTGATTAGGTTTCGAGTACAACAAAATCACAAACTAAATTGCCCACATTTCCCTAACTATTTATCAGAAACCCAAACAAGCTAAATTCCAATTTCCAATCAACAAAAGCTAAAATTAACAAAACCAGCATCAACAACCAAATAACGATAGCCCAATCAAAAACCCTAAAAACCCAATACCCCAATTACCTTATTATGCATCAAAATGGCACAACCAGGCTCGAGCTGGTCCTTATCTACAAAGGACAAAATCCCAACATAGTACTCAGGCCCAACCGAAGACGAAACAATCGCATGGTTCTCGTCAATTAGCTCCTCCAGATTCCCAACGCTCATCGGCGAGCCTCGGAGATCGTCGACCTTAGATCTATCCTCCTCGGCTTTCTCTTCCTGCGGCTTGAGCCGCTCCTGGTTTGTCACGAACTCTTCCTCCATAAGCAGATAGTCCTTGATTCTGTCCAGCTTCAGCAGCCGAAGCTTGCACTTGGTCAGCGGCGTCACGGTCGGGAGCCGAGCCGCAGCCTCGGGACCCTTCTGCTTGCGCTGCTTTCGACCGACTCGCGGCGCCGGCGGCGGGCGCGCCACGGCCGCCG